CCAGTCCTTATTATGCAGTGTTTGTTATTTTCTCTGCAGCATTAAAGCTTTAAAGTTGAAATAGAGTATCTCACATGAACAAAGATGAGCGACTGTAATGTCATGAGAATAGAGTGCTGCTGGGTATAGCATAGTGTAAGCAGTGGTAACATAAGGCATTGGAGCAACACATGAAATACTGGAGCAATTCGGTTGCCATCACACGCAGACTCAAAATGCTCAAAAATAGCAAACATTCTGTTTTCCTGCAGCGAGGGTCTTTGCTCCAGCTTTTTTTAAACATTTTGTGACTGCAGCTTTACAGTAGTTATTGTAACACCTCCAGGATGTACTTGAGGATACATAAGGCAGTCCAGCCCTGGACAGTGCATGATAAGGTGGTAAAAGTCTCTTTCCAACAGCTGATGGCATGCACTGCACTGCACTACACTAACTGCTGAAATGCTGTAGACATCTCTTCAAATCAAAAGGCTTAGATACTTCAGACTTCTCCCGAGAGCATTTTGGTTCAGGTACTTGTTCCCGTACTTAAGTGGAAGCTTTCGCCAGAACAACATCAAGTTACACTCCACAAACCCTAGACTTTGTATCTTAGTGGGCTGGAGGGTTGTAATCAAAACAATGTATGCAGAAGTGTACGTACAAAATGTAGCTGGGGAGAAAAGAGGAAGAGAGAAAAATAGATGCTTTTTAAATAATTGCACACTTGTAAGGGCCCTAATGCCAGGATTATTGTTTCACGAGCCATAACAACCCATTACTTGCCTCTAAACTCTGTAATCACTCCATACTATCATCAATAATAATAATTTATTTAGAAGCAGTATTGTCAGTGAAGAAGTGCAGTCCATGCCAGCAGCACTACAAGGTCAGCTCTGTAGGGCAGCGCTGGCAGGTTTTCACTCTAAGGACTCTGGTGTTTTAGAAAGCCTTCCGTCTCAGCCTGGAATTATATACAGTTCACAACCGTGATTGGCTCCCGGCAGCCTTGCTGAGGAGGCTCTTGGTGCCTACCTGTCACTATGCAAAAATCTCCACCAATGTCATTATTCCCCCTGTGCATCAGGACAGCGTGATTGGCTGAGAATGAGAAAATGAGCTGTGGTTGCCATCGTGGCTCGCTCATTGATATGCTTCGGCGTTACTCACACAAGTCTCAAAGGAGTTTTCCGCTATTGTTGTACGCACACACACACACAC